AAATCATCCAGCACATGTATCCAACAGCAATGTTCGCAGACTCACGAACAACATGGACGCCCGCGTCGAAGCCATTTCCCACAAAACCACCGAAAAGGACAAGCTTCTCGGCGCACCAAGTCAGCGTGTGCCCGTTGCTGCCCTCCACTATCGACTCTCCCGCGAATCCCATCCCCGCTTCGTTGACCCACTCTGTAGGGACGAACCCACCCGCATCGGCCCCGCCACTCTCTAAACTCAACCTCCACAGGTCATCGATGTACGCCATGATGATGATCGCGCCACATTCTTCTTCCTCTTCCTCTTCCGCCCCGTCAACGACCATGTCGCCGCTGCTAAGCTCCACCAGCCCATACCCGCCGAACAAGAACAAATCGGCACCGTTCAAAAAAATAAGTAAATGTATGTTAGAACCCGCATCTGTGATGTTCCGGAGCGTGATGGCTCTGATGTGTTGACGCTGGTGTTGTGATAGCTGCTGTGATGGCGTGATAGCCTAGAGGCGTGACAGCCTGGCCGCGTGATAGCGGGTGGATATGTAGTATGGACACGGGCATGATAGCCCAGAGCGTGATGGCCGGGCAAAGGAAGATCAATAATTATCCAAGGGCACGTGGCCAACACCGTTGCAGACACGTAGACTATTATACCCAGAAAACAACAATATGTGGCAAAGATGGTACCACCATTCCCCCAATTTATCACAACTGCGGAACCCCCAAAATTCCTCGTTCCATCTTCTCAAAAAGTTCCTCGGTTGCACCAATCTGTCAATGCTGTGAGTACATCCAACAGCCCCCCTGCTCGCTGCATAGTGAAGATTATTCCCGGAGTTATTATGCATCACACAAAACCCATCCCAAAAGCTCCAGATATCAATGTCAATGTGCAACAGTAAAATTCGCATCTTCTCCGATGCTCTTGCAACAAAATAAATCATCAAACCAGAAACACTAGTTGTTCCTACCAGAATTTCCATCGGTCTCCATTGTATCCGGAATCTCCAAAGATCAAAACATTCACTAAAACCATTAAATCAGAAACACTGATTGGAATCCCCATCGATTGCAAAATAAAGCCAGAAACACGACCAATAATTTCTATCGGTCGCTCATGAATTTTCCAAATTCCCAATATCAACTCATCCAACACTCAATCAAATCGTGGAAACAACCGCAATGGGTCATGTCAGAACAAATGAAAACAATCACAACCGTATACAAATACAACACCGCCCGGGACAATCACTTTCCGAGGATATCTCACATCCACAAGTAGCAGAAAACTAGAATGAATCATGATTGCAAAAAGTGCTCGACTCCATACCTCATCCTATTATTCCTGGAACACAAACCTCCGTTCAGTTTCCAACAAAACAATTTATTTCTTCCTGCATACCCTACCCACACATGTCTGGTTACGGCCCCCCTTCTCCAAACACCAGACGTCAAGGGATCAACCCTCATCGTGACAAACGCATCCTGTGATATTTGGGTGCTGAGAGCAACACCAAAAACCGCAACCAACCTGCATTGTGAACGAAATCAAATCCCGAACTTTGCAAATCGACCGTCGAAAGCAGGCGAAGCATTCCATTCTTCGTGATGTTGCGGTAATTCATTGTCATGACACACCAATTTCCTTCCCAATGACGGTTGACAACAGCATCGAAGACATAGCATTTTATAGAAATAGAGGGGTTACCGCTGGCCGATGGTACATGGAAAGGCGCGCCAAACACAGGGGACAACGTAGATAGAGCCTTCTGCCAAGAAAAATGCCACACGAAGAAAGACAAAAAAACAAAAAACAACAAGCTCAAACATAGTAGCGGCCTTCACGACATGGCCGCAAGGATTCAAACCAATAACCCTGTTCCATCACCATGACCTTTTCTGAACAGTTTCAACGCCACACGCAAATCGGTGCCGCCGTTGCAGTCCAAGAAATGGATAGAAAATTCAACAAACATGTAGACAGCCCCCTTCTGTCACATCCCGAACCATACCCCATATAATTCCAGCGTTCATGCAAGAACATTCCGCGAATATCAATACTCCAACAAATAAACGTGCAGAAAGCCCCCCTGCAAAGGAAGCTGTTCATATGGAAAAACAACAACAAATCGACTACTTTTTATGCCCTCTAATCATAGTCACACATGACATTCTCCCCCCATGATTCTGGATGTACATGACAGCAACAAACAAAGAAGAAAAAATCAGTACAAAAGTAGAACGCGCCGCCAGATAGAAAGAAAGGCAAAAAAAACTAAGCTAAACACGATATCCATCTTGTTAGATCAGACTCGATGTCGTCGCGCGATGCGAGGCGCGCCACGAGCCCAAACGGAATGCCGAGGGGCGACCCCCAGCAGGTTGCTCTGGGTCTCCCACATGCACCCCTCCCAAACATGCTGTTCTCCATCGCCCTCCATCTCGCCACCCCCCAGCTCGCCGCCCCTCAACTCACCGGCCCCTGCTATCCTAGGCCAACTCATCGGCTTGCCGTTCAGTACACGCCGGGTTGCATGCCCCGAAGAAGGCGATGTCGACGACGACGCGCNGGGTCTCCCACATGCACCCCTCCCAAACATGCTGTTCTCCATCGCCCTCCATCTCGCCACCCCCCAGCTCGCCGCCCCTCAACTCACCGGCCCCTGCTATCCTAGGCCAACTCATCGGCTTGCCGTTCAGTACACGCCGGGTTGCATGCCCCGAAGAAGGCGATGTCGACGACGACGCGCGGGCGGTGGCTGGAGCGATTTATGTACCTTCTGCGGCGGAATGCTGCTGCGACGACGAAGTGGCGGCGGCGGCACTCCTCGCCGCGGGCGTCCTCGGGCCCGGCAGCTTGGCGGCACCTGGCGAAGGCGCATGCGGTCCATCGGCCTAGGAGGTCGATGGCGACGGCAGCGGCGCGGCGGTGATATCGGCGGCGGGCAGCGGAGCGGCGGTTGTCCTCGTTGCGGTCATCCGCGGGTCCGGCAGCGCGGCGGCACCCGGCGACGTTGCAGACGGCACGCCGGCCCTGGGGTTCGGCGGCAGCGGCGACGGTGCGGCGGCGGCGGCGGCGGCTGCAGTCCATGGTGCGCCACCAGCGGTTTGCGACGGCGACGATGAAGTGGCGTCGGCGGTGGCGGGTCGCCACGGTGCAGCGGCAGCAGCGGTTGGCGAAGCGGTGATAGTACCCCCCGCGGTGGCAGCGACGGCAGGCCAAGGCGCAGTGGTGGCAGCGGGCGGCCAAGCGGCAGTGGTCCCGGGTTCCAACTCCCTGGGGAGGGTGTTCCCCTGTTGCTTGCAAGTCAAACTCAAAATGGGTTCGGGAAAGTGGCCAGCGCGGTGGTGGAAAACGTCAACATCCATTTGTTCGGCACGACCTAACACACCCACATCACACTCAGACGCAACTCCTTCCCTCGCATCAAACATCCCCGCACTCGTCCCCGAGTCTCCCTGCAACTGCTCACCACCTGTGGGTGTTGACATCCTAGTGTGGCATACCGGAGCTTGAGAGGTTACAGCAGGATTCACTACAGGAACAACAGGAACATCAAGCACAGACATACCAGCAACGGGAACACCAGACACCCCCCCATCACTAACAACTCCAATCTCATTTCCAGACACAGAATCAGACTCGCCTAGAGAATTCACATTACATGTGAGGAAGAGGCGAAGAGGAGCGCCACTTGCTGGAAGAATGTCGCCCGGAGGTGGAGAGGGGGTCGCCGTCGAGGAGGCAGAGGTCGTTGGAGTAGCGCCGGCGTGCTGCTGCTGCTGCTGCTGCTGCTGCTGCTGAGTCGCCGGCTGAGTAGCGGTGCTAAAGGCCTCGTTGAAGACTCGNAGAATTCACATTACATGTGAGGAAGAGGCGAAGAGGAGCGCCACTTGCTGGAAGAATGTCGCCCGGAGGTGGAGAGGGGGTCGCCGTCGAGGAGGCAGAGGTCGTTGGTGGTGCGCTGATGTACTGCTGCTGCTGCTGCTGCTGCTGCTGCTGCGTCGCCGGCTGAGTAGCGGTGCTAAAGGCCTCGTTGAAGACTCGCTGCTCATCAGCTTCAGGCCCTGCAGAAGGGGGACAGGGCGGGCGGCCCCAACCCCAGCTTGCCCCTTGGTCCAGTTGGTGCAGCTGCTCTCGATATGATCCGCCCGACAACCGCCCCGAGTCTTGCCCCCGGGCCTGAGGAAAACCTGGTCCCCGCATGCTGTCCCTCTCGCGAATGAACGCCATGAAGTCGTTGTAGTGGAACAAGAAGTCCTGGCGAAGTTCATTGCAGTCCGGGGTGTTCGCTCCGTGAACCTGACAAAAGAAAGCACTTCTCTGCTCATGAGATGGTCCGCCATCCGCTCCCGCAGCAGCTGCTCTCCTCATGCCGCCGCCCCGGCCCACACCGGCAGCGACGGGCGCATGCCTCGTGTCCTCGATCCCCTCTCCAGACCTCCGTTCGATCCTCTGCTCATGCTCAGCCAGCCTCAGCGTCTCTTTCAGAGTACCTCTCGAACGCATGGGGTGGAACAGAATACCGTCTTTGACATCGTCGTACAATTGGGAGCAAGCCACGCGCAATGTGTCTCGACATTAACGTCTGCTCTCCATTGTCCCCACAAGACTGTAATTACATCCACACGGTATTCATTCGCCCTTCCCCAGTAGTCGACCAGAGTCTCTCCATGCTTCTGCCTTAGGCAGTTCCAAGTGTCGTCCACGATTTCTCTCTCATGCGTCCTACTTCTAGTGTAGAAGGACTGAAACACTCTCCACTCTGCTTGTGGACTCTCTGAAGCTAGTATCNCGATCCTCTGCTCATGCTCAGCCAGCCTCAGCGTCTCTTTCAGAGTACCTCTCGAACGCATGGGGTGGAACAGAATACCGTCTTTGACATCGTCGTACAATTGGGAGCAAGCCACGCGCAATGTGTCTCGACATTAACGTCTGCTCTCCATTGTCCCCACAAGACTGTAATTACATCCACACGGTATTCATTCGCCCTTCCCCAGTAGTCGACCAGAGTCTCTCCATGCTTCTGCCTTAGGCAGTTCCAAGTGTCGTCCACGATTTCTCTCTCATGCGTCCTACTTCTAGTGTAGTAGGACTGAAACACTCTCCACTCTGCTTGTGGACTCTCTGAAGCTAGTATCTGGTCTAGTATGGGTTGAACGTTGATTTTCGTCATCAAGCATATCCAGACTCTCGTGGCCTTTCGAACACTTTCATCGCCAAACCTCTGCCGCAACCAAGTCTTATCGCCGTGCAACGAACCCACAAGAATCTCTTCTCCTCTCATGATCTCTTCAAGACCCTCTGCATCCATCCACCCTGAGAAACAACTCGTGAAAATTCGGAACGCGACAGTCATACTTCGATCCTTCAAGAAAGCCTCATTCCATTCAGGTACTTCGATTCTCTCTCTCAGCTCCAACTCTATGGGCTGAGAACTAGACGTGCCTGAGCGGACATCATGTCCCGGAGTCTGGGAAGCGGAGGTGGCAATATCTATCTATGTAAAAGATTTAGTGGCTTTCTTTGTTCTTCTATCTATATTAAATATTGTTATTTTTTACTTTCCTAATAGCTTCGGAGATCTAGATAATTATTTAGAAGCAGATCCATGGTACACCAGCACATATTGTGCCAGAATGGTACTTTTTACCTTTTTATGCTATTCTTAGGGTAATACCTAATAAAGTAGGAGGTATTCTTATTATGGGTGGTGCGATTGCTATTATATTATTTTTTTGTACCCCTTATTAAATACTTCAACTACGTAGTGCTAATATTCGTCCAATTTATGCAGTACTCTTTTGGCTCTTTGTTGCTGATTTTTTTTACTTGCTTGGTCAGGAGCTACTCCAGTAGATGATTCCTTTAAAGTCATTGCTGCTATTGTTGCAATAGGTTATTTTTCTTTCTTTGTTTTTGGAGGTTTATTCGTTGGATAGTTAGAAAAGATTTTAGCCTTTAGAGCTTTCTCTAAAATATTATCATTATTATTTTGTTTGCCCGCCGACAATTGCAGATAAATGCAGACATAAAAAGTCGAAAAGGCCGTCATGCCAAGCCAAATTAACTCGATGCCCAATAGCTAGGAATGTTTGCCTCTAAGTCAACAAAACTTTGGTTGAAACACTACAGCTGAACTCTAGGCACGAACCTTAGATGGAGAAAAACGAACAAAACCCCAACCTCATCCACCCGAAATCAAACAAAACTCGGCCCCGTCTTCCCTGGTATCCCTGACACCGTATCGAACAGAAATNGTTCCTACTCCCCTGCCACCTGCAACCACAACGGCCAAGCCCTTCCCCCTCGGCAATCCCGACACCGTATCGAACAGAAATCCGCTTTCCACCGAAGTGGTTAGGTTAATTTCGGCGCGCAAAAGTCTGTGGGGCATTGCTGATCGATATTGCCACCGGTCTCTAAATAGTTTTTTTCCGGCGGAGGAGGTCGACGAGGGCGATAGTTGGATCTTGTTCCCCTCCATCCGCAGCTACTCTCGGTACTCCCTGGTCAACATCAGGGAGGTTCAACGAATCTTGTCCTTTCCCCCCGTTGTCTTCCCCGTGGGGAGAGGAACTAGTCCCTGGTCCCCCCGGAGATCTTCGTCCATCTCCTCCAGCCGTCTTATTCGCGCAGACACAGTAGACACTCTCTTGATCTATTACGCTAGCGTGTTGGAGAGCTTGGTGCGCCCGGCGCAGTTGTAGACGGCAAAAATGAAAGAACAGCGCGGCGAGTTTACCGGCAACGATAAAATACAGTAAACTGCCCGCGGGTGTGGTAACCCGCCGCATCTGCGATGTTCCGGAGCGTGATGGCTCTGATGTGTTGACGCTGGTGTTGATAGCTGCTGTGATGGCGTGATAGCCTGGAGGCGTGACAGCCTGGCCGGGTGATAGCTGGTGGATATGTAGTATGACACGGGCGTGATGCCCCAGAGCGTGACAGCCGGGCAAAGGAAGATCAATAATTACCCAAGGGCACGTGGCCAACACCGTGGCAGACACGTATGTATACCCAGAAAACAACAATATGTGGCAAAGATGGTGCCACCATTCCCCCAATTTATCACAATTGCGGAACCCCCAAAATTCCCCGTTCCATCTTCTCAGAACGTTCCTCGGTTGCACTAAACCAGCGAGTGGTCATGTCGTGGGTTTCAATGAAATTTTCAAGGTTTGGCTATGGCGTGACAAGGACAACAATCGATCGATGCGGTTTCCATCTGAGTTACCGGTGCATACGGTATCAGGTTGCCTCCGATTTCGTTCCGGTCTCCTCTACATAGTCTATACTGGTGGTGCGCCAGCAGCAGCACGTTTGGTTTCCTTTCGTAACGTGCGGGTAGGTTACGGCTTGAATGTTGTGTGCTTTGTTTGGATTGGTGATGTACGGTTTGCAACTTCCATGCCGATTAATAAAAACAACAGACAATCCCGCGTGAACCTCGCCGACCGTAAATAAAAGCAAGTATGTTGTTGTTTTCGTCCTATTTAATATGGCGACAGTCCCCCCATTTTTTGTGGTGAAACGTGTACGACACTTTTCAGCGTATGTAGAGTACTACACTTTTCGGTGTATTTTTTCGTACAACTACAACCATCCAGGGTCACACGGGAGGGGGTAAACACCAGGCAGGGCTCTTTTATTCTTTTTGCTTATGTTCGTGCCCCACCTTCCTCCTGCGGTGCGTGCTGACTTCTATATTATCGCAAGAAGGGTCCAGCCATCCCTCTACCTCGTCAACGGTGGTCACGTTGACGTTTGGTACTCGCAAGAGCTTTTTCAGCTCTCTTTCGCTTTCACCGGCAAACTTTGTAAGTTTTGGAGGGATAGCGCTTCGGTGACACCGTCACCACATATATGCAGAGGTACACGCGTACACGTCTTTACGGCAGCTCAAAAAGAGCTCAACATTGGATTTGAGGGTCGGTGGAGATCGCACCGGAGGGTCGGTGAGATCGCACCAGGTGTGGTCTCATCGACCCCGGTGCGGAAATACAACTAAATCATGTCGTTCTTGTTTTTTTTTCGCACCCCGGTGCCGGCTCTCCGACTCTACGGTCGTCTACACCTGGTCGTAGCTACGTACGTTGAGTGAAACACCGACAGTAGTTGACTCAGCACCTACTTATCACCGTGCAGTAGTAGCCATGTGAATTTTTCATGTCGTCCCAAACCTTTGTTATTGCCCACGAACAATCAATACAGGACGCGACACCACGTAAGAATCAACGTGGGGCAACCAATGTCAATACCGACGAGAACTGAGCCCCGAAAAACGGCGGCAGCAAGAGAAGCACTAAGGATGGTGGGGGGTGACCCCAACAGTAGTGGTCTGAGATTCGGGGCGGGAGGTGGGTACATCGTGAGGAAATATTGGTACCAGCGGGAGGGGGCGCTGATATATGGTTGTGCATGCCTTAGCGTAAAACCATTAACCACTCGTCCTCGAGAGATCAGAGCATTGCTCCCGCAGGACCGATCACCGATGGCCAATCGTTCCATCCTACTTTGCCAAAGGTGGCATAAAAACGTTTCCCTAGCCTGTTTATCCTATCAAGATCACTTCCCGCCTATTCAATCCACTTCCTCAAAGCCCCAGTACAGCTACCTACCGTCTCTCCGGTTATTCCATAAGCCTCAAACATCTCCCTGTACGTTCCTTCTACTTTTCTCAGCATAGACGTGTACGTTTCTTTCTCCTTGTCTTACAACGGACATTCCGCAACTACATGAACCCGGTTGTTGCACTCGGGGCCTCATATATATTTGAACGGACGGGGGGGGGGGGGCGTACTCTTATGTTTTGCATACCTTTGCGGTTAGACCGTCCTCGAGGGGACGGAGGATTGTTCCCACAGTTCCTATTTTGCTAAAGGTGGCTCAAAAATGTCTTCCCTAGTCTATTTATCCTAACGATATCACTTCTCGCCGTTCAAACCACTTCCTATTCCCCATTACGGCTGCCGTCTTCTCCTCTCTACTCCATGCCTCAAACACTTCCCTGTACCTCCCTTCTATTTTCCCCAGCTCAGTCACGTACACTTCCCTCTTCTTTTCGCACAATTGGCATTCATGAGCCCCGTCTGCGCGCTCGGAGCCGCAATCACATCTGAACTTGTCGTCTTCGTTGTCTACCGTCCTATGTCTTCGTCAACGTTCTCGAAGGCCTATGTCCCCGGTCCTGAATTTGTCCTTAAGCTGTGTCCCTGCATCCATTGGTCCATGTAGGTAATCGTTGAACACTATTCCTTCTTACAGCATTCCGTACACTTCTAGACACTCCTTGTCCTCGGTTTCTTTCCTCAGATTCTGTTCTTCTCTCTCGGCACAAGCAACAGATATCTTCTCCTTGAACCCCTGTTGACCCTGCCTTTTCCAGCGTTTCATCTTCGTCGATTTCGAACCCCTTCCAGGCATCCTCTGCAACCTTGACCCATTCCGTGGGTTGTCTACCCCTCTTGTTGTTTGCCCAGTTCGCCTCCCAAACAATTCTCGGCAACCTCTCCTCTCCCATCCCGCACATGCGATACTGCCAGGTCAGCTTCCTCGCGTCTCTTCCCGACGGTAAGGATTGGATTCCTGCCCTGACGGCTGCATTACTTTTGCCCTTGGAGCATCCTAGGATGATTTTCGCTGCTTTCATTTTCGCCCCCTCGAGTTCTTTCTTTACCTTCTTATTTCCTTCCCATACTTCTCCGGCGTACTCTAGCGGCGGTACGATTACGCTCTTCAAAACCGTCAATTTGATGCGTGTATTGAGGTGCGGGTTTGCGAGAATAGGGTGCAGCTTCCCTGCTCGTGCTTTGCCCTTTTCCGCTACCTTCGACGTGTGTGCATTCCACGAGTAGTCTTTTGCGATCTCTACTCCGAGGTATGTGTACTGGTCCACTACTGCAATCTCCTTAACCCCCCACTTCCATCTATACTCTACTGACTCCTCCCTGTCCTCGTTGCATACCATGACGGCACTCTTCTTATCGTTGGCAGACAATCTGCACTTCTCAGTAAACTTCTTCGCCGCGTTAATATGCAGTTGCAGTCTTTCAGGGGTGTCCGACATACCAACAAGTCATCTGCAACCAGCATTCCCGACACCGAAGTTTCCGTGTCTCCTAGGTAATTTTACTCCCTTCCGGACTGCCTCTACGACTTCCAACAGATCGTTGATGACCACCTGGAATAATGTTGGGGACAGCGTGCAACCTTGTGGGACTCCCTGTTCAATATCGTTGGACAGTTCTCCGTCTAGTATGACCGCGCTTTCGTACACTCTGTCATCTTAGTCAGCTCTCTTCACATTTTCCCGTTGATCCCGTACTTGGACAGTTGTTTCCACAGCCCATTTCTCCATACGGTGTCGTATGCCTTTTTCACGTCCAGGAAAGAAGCAGTACGTCGGCTTTCCCGCCTTTTTTTTACCATGGATGATTCTCCCTACCGTGAATACGTGGTGTACGCACCCACTCTTCTTTCGGAAACCTACCTGGCCGTCACTAATGCTATGTTCCTTCTCCAAATACTTTTATTTTGTTTGCCCTCCGACAAGTAATTGCAGAAAAATGCAGACATACATAAGAAGTCGATCGTAAAGGCCGTCATGCCAAGCCAAATTAACTCGATGCTCCTTCTCCAATACTCCCACTATCTTATCGTTCAGCAGCTTACAGAACACTTTTCCTACTGTGTTCAACAGTGTGTACCCCCTGTAGTTTTCTCGGTCAACCTGATCTCCTTTCTGAAACAAGTCCACAACCACTCCTTCCTTCGATCTACGTGGCGCATGCTCGTTTTTCCACACCCATATGTAGAGCGGTACCATCATCTGGATCATCCCCTTCCCCCCAAACTTCATGAACTCGTTGACTATCCCATCCGCCCCTGCTGCTTTGTGGCACTGCAGCTTATTCACACGCGCCTCAATCTCGTCCGCAGTGAATTCCCTCTCAAGCTCCACGTTCCCAACGTCTGCCTTCGATGCCTCTTTTTCTTCCTGGGCCCATGCGTCCACCTCCTTCTTAAGCACTTGGTCACAAGCTTCATTCTCCGAAGGCACTCCAAGTCTCTTGTAGTGTCCTGCTAGACCTGCCCTTTTTCCCTTCCCACTGCTGACAAATTGTCCACCGTTCACACCTCGCAAAGTTGCTACCCCTGTTTCCCCTTGTTTACCATCCCACTAATCCCTTGCCACATCTGCTTGACGTTCCCCTCCAGGCCTCCGTTGGCCTTCTGCACTACTTCGTTCCAGATGCTCTTTTTCTTCTTTTTCATAAGTCCCTTCACCTGTTTTCTCTTGGTCCTGTACTTTTCCACCCCCCCCTCAGACCACTTGTTTGACGTGGTGGAAGTAGTGGTGAAAACGGAGTTCGAGGAAAGCCTATGGCTTAAGATACCTGGGGAGCGGGGTGAGAAAGATTTGTTTCTAGGGCACGTATACGTCCCACCGTCGTCGAAGAAAGTCGCAAGCAAGGCGCAGGAGAACTTTGGACAAATTGGGGAA